TTCGAGGGACGTCATCGAGTTGAACGTGTGCTGAACGCGGAGGTGTCGTACGTTCGATGCTTGGATCGGTTGGATCACGAAGACGTTTGACTACATCAATCACGTTACTAAACGCTTCCGCTTTCGGTCTTCGAGGGTACATAGACACATTCTCCCCTCTTGTTGCTATGCATCTCCTAGATAGATCTTGCGTGATCATAGGAATTTTTTTGAAATACTGCGTTCCCCGACACCTCCATGTGCAGCCGGTGTTAATCTTCAGCCGGAACTCCATCAACACGGCCGGGAAATGTTTCATGAAGTCCAGGGGCATTGGTAGGCACTCCAGCTTCGGGGCAAGAATGAACTTGCAGAAGTGAGTTAGGCCACCCTCCTGATGGTAGTGCGCGAAGTTCCGGCACTTGCCGTTGGGGGGCTGCTCCAGCACCACGTCCTCATCCGTGGGTGGCACCTCCTCCAAGGGCAGCACCACCTCCTTCCCCTTCTCCATGGAGGGAACCACCTCCTTGCCCTTGTTCTCTGTCTCGATCTACATTATGAACAACACAAAGTTCTATATTATGAACAACACAAAGTTCAAAGATTGATCATCATTAAATCCTATCGTCCAAAGCCCACATATTTACCCACCCAAACTCTCGCTACTTATCTACCACAACACTCAATTAACCATCTCTATCTATCACTCCTCTTCCACCTCTCCAATGCCATGAACTCCAACCCCAACCCCTTATGGATGGAGGACTTTCTTCCTCGGGTGCTTGCTCGATGACCGCACCAAGTTCGAGAACACCATGAAAGTGTCCTCGAACTTAACCAGCATCGAAGACATGCACAAGGAGGCATACGCTATGGTGAAGAAGGCGATGGTGGAGGATTTGAAGACATTGATTCCTAACCCAATGAAGGGTGCTATGTTAGTCGACATCCTGCGCTAGACCATGAATCAGGCCGACTACGACAATGATAGACAGAGGGCAAGGTAGAGCAAGTATAGGGAGTACATGGCTCCTCAAGAAAACTTGAATACTAGTGAAACATATACTCTCTCCGTTCCTAACTATAAGTCTTTATAGAGGTTCCAATGCAGACTATATATGGAGCAAAATAAGTGAACCTACACTCTAAAATATGTCCATATACATCCGTATGTAGTTCTTATTGAAATATATAAAAGGACTTATATTTAGGAACGGAGGGAGTATAGAACAACAGAACAAAAGAGTTTGTAAAAGTTTTTCTTTGTTACTTTCAGTTTGTCAACTGAATTGCTTAAGGACAAACAATGCATTAAGCTTGGGGGCGTTGATACGTCTCCATCATATCTATTTTTTCAAACACTTTTGCTTTTGTTTTGGACTCTAATTTGCATATTTTGAATGAAATTAACCCGGACTAGCGCTATTTTCAGTGAAACTACTATGGTATTATTTTTGTGTAGAAATAAAAGTTCTCAAATTGGGCTGAAAATTTATGAAGATTTTTTCTGGAATATATAAAATTATTGGCGAAAAGACCTTACTAGAGGGGGCCACCATGGAGCCATGGGCTCAGGTGGCGCCCCCTAGGCCAGACTGTGTGGGCTTGTGGCTCCCACAGACCTCCGATTGCCCTAACTCCAACTCCATAAATACCGTCTCATGGAGAAAAAACCCAGAGAAGGAATCATCGCATTTTACATATGGAGCCGCCGCCACCTCCCGTTCTTCATCGGGAGGGCTGATCTGGAGTCTGTTCGGGGCTCCAGAGAGGGGGATTCATCGTCGTTGTCATCCAACCCTTCTTCATCAACAATTTCTTGATGCTCATCACCGGGAGTGAGTAATTCCTTCATAGGATTGGTTGATGGTGTTGGATGAGATTTGCAATGTAATCGAGTCAATTTGTTAGGGCTTGATTCCTAGTATCCACTATGTTCTGAGATTGATGTTGCTAAGACTTTGCTATGCTTAATGCTTGTCACTAGGTTTCGAGTGCTATAATTTTATATCTGAACCTATTATGTTTTTGCGAACATAAATATGTTTTGAATCCTATCTTGCAAGTTGTATGCACCTATTATGTGCACAGTTTCAAATAGTGGAGATAGCATCCGCTATCGCGTCCGGAATAGCGTCCCCAACTCCTCAAATTAAATGCCATTACTTTTTCTTAATGAAATAGAAATACACAATAATCTAGTGCATTTTCAAATCCACTACATGGACATAGGGCTCGCAATATCACTCGCTATCCGCATTCCAGTACGTGGACCCCAATCCGCCACAAGCCCACCGTTCGCTATTTAAAATGTTCTGATTCGTAGACCACAAAGTGAAAACAATTGGGATTCGCTCTGGTGACGACCGTAGTATGAGGAGTTCATGCATTCACTATGAGTTAATGTTTTGTTGCGGTTCTCTATTAAAAGAAGGTCTTAATATCCATTAGATTTTCTTATGGACCCCGCTGTCATGGGAGGCTAGGACAAAAGATGTCATGCAAGTTCTTGTTATAAGTACGTATGACTATATACGGAATACATGACTACATTACGCTAATGAATTGAAGCTATTGTGTATCGCTCTAGGTTGTGAATGTTATATGATGATCATCCAACACAAATATCCATTGCTAATCCAATGCCTACGCTTTTCTTATATTGATCTGTGCTAAGTTACTACTATTGTTGCAGCTGTTACAATCACTACAAAATTGATATTATTATTGTTTTTGCTATTGTTTCTACTACCAAAACCATTAAACTACTGTGCTACTAAACACTTTGTTGTAGTGATATTATTTTTCAGGTGTGGTTGAATTATACATTTATTTTGAATATTTTAAAAATTATAAATTTCATAAAACTCTTGAAAATAGAATTTGTAAATAAAGTATAATCTTAAATTTATGAATATTATTTAAATTCATGAATGTGTCTTAAATTCTATGAACATTTATTGAAATTCTAAGAAAATTAAATTCTTGAAGAGTTTTAGAAAAAAATTCAAAGTGTTTCAATATAAAAAAGGATGAAAGTAAAAGAGTGGTTAAAAATTGTACGAAAAATTGCCAATGTAATACGCATGGGCCACAAACATGCATGTTTGCTCGCAATCCAATTTTTTTTAAAAAGTGGAAAGTATTTAAATATGACCAAAATAAAAAGTTGGTTGATAAATTGACCCGCAAAAAGCCAGGATAATATGCACATAGGGCTAGATGGGTTGCGGTTGTGTCAGTTATAATATTGTTTATGCAAGACCCATTATTCAACCGGGCCCTTACATGCGGGGTTCACTTTGAGGAGAAAACTAAGGAGTTCTCCTAAATCTCTATTCCTAGGAGTTTAATGAATGTTTCTTTAAAGTAGAGGCAAAAGGTTTGTCTCATTCGTTAACAAAGCAGAAGAGAGTTACCCGGTTAATTAATGGAAAACTGAATTAATGGAAAACTGAACGAAAACCGTCCTAATTTGTTGAGCGACACGTATAGGATACCCCACCCACATTTGTCCCGAGAGAGTCCCGTCTAGATAGCACACGGGCGTCATCGTCATTACTTTTCCCCGAGTAGGCGTCCTCACCATTCCTAATCACAAGCAAGCAACTCCGACTTCATCATAGACAACCGTCAACCCAACTCACACCGTAGAGGCCATGTAGAGTCACATGAAGATTCGTGGCAGAACTCGGCCAGCCGCGAGGAGGACAGCGTAGCTTCTACTCTAATGGAGAGCAACGAATGAGAACCGACTAAGGCTATCGCCGTGAAAGATCGTCGAACAAACCACCCGCTGCCTGCCATTGTCGCCACCGGGACCCTGCCGCTGCAACTCTGACTTTGCAACAACAAAGGGAGAAAGTCCCGCAAACATGCCAAACACGAGTTGACAACCTCAACCATTGTTGCGCCTCCGACATCGCCCGCGCCCGCCATCATCGCCACAGAAGCCTCGACGCCAACACACACCAGCATCTTCCACCAGGCTGCCGCCACGAACTATTGCAGCAATGCTCCATTTTTTTTAACCCAACGCCGTAGAACAATGGTTCTACGGTAGCAATGCTCCATTTCCATACTCTTCGACTTATTTTTTCGAGAAGAAGTGACTTTTACGTTACAATAACCGAGAAGTCACGACAGACACGTACTACGTACTACACAGTTTCATCTTTGGTGTGCTTCCAACTTAGTCGTTCCTCTCCTAGACCCACACCCGCATCGTGACAGAATCGCCACTGTGCCTGCTACCTACCGGTGGAAGCAAGCCAACAAGACCTCATCGCTGACCTGAACTGTCCCTCCCCACAAGGATCCAGCGGCAACCCGACAAGATCCAGCCCTTTCTTGACCATTTGTACTCTCGCGTACATGTGTGGTGTGGCCTCACAAACCTAAAAGCGCCGAGGCGGCTAACCAACCCCAGTGAGATCGATCTCTGACTCCCAGCCTTACAAACATTTTAACAACCTCGCATTCCTCTCCACTAACCCATGTTCGTTTTACATCTTCTTTTGCTAGTTTAGCAATATCTTGCCACTCCATACTCGTAAAGCATGTCTGCCTACGTCCTCCCCACCTCGATCTCGATCTCACCTTTTGTACCACGCCATATGGATTCCACATGCAGGTAGCAGTACGATGCACCTTCTCTTGTTCCTCCTAATCCTGTTGGAACTTGGATACTAAGTGATACCACCCGTTGGTTATTGTCGGATGTTTTCTTTTCTCCATGATTTTGGCGGGAACGCATTTACGGTGTTCATGCTCCTGCGGTGCAAGCTTTTGCAATTCAATGGCGGGAACGCATTTATGTGAGAAATGGTTTGAAATCAAATGTTCCCCATCGCCACCGCTACTGCACATCGTACGAGGCCTGCCGATCATACATACAGTAGAAAAAGGAAAGGCTGTGACGTGTACTATGGTGCTGGTGCACTCGAGCGGAGGCATGTGATGGTGGCTGGCAGAGCCACGCACGCAGTTCACACGCGGCACACTGGCAGTGCATGGCATGATCACGCGTCGCCGCCGCCGTCGAGCGGGCGAGGCCGGATGTCCTTGAGCACGCCCACCACCTGCTGCATCGTCGGCCGCTTGTCCGGCGAGTGCGCCGTGCACAGGTACCCCACGCGCAGGCACTCCACCATCTCCCGCTCCGCCGCCTCGCCGCCGTGCACCCGCGGGTCCACGATGTCCAGCCCCTTGCCGTCGCGGACGAGCCCGCGCGCCCAGCTCACCGACGCCTCGTCCCACCTCGCCTGCCCCGTCATCAGCTCCAGCACCAGCGCGCCGAACCCGTACACGTCCGCTTCCGGCGTCGCGTTGTCGTCGCCGTCGCCGCCGCTGAGGTGCCCGAAGTCGGAGATCCGGGGCTCCAGGTCGTCGCTGAGGAGCACGTTGGTCGGGACCAGGTGGCCGTGCACCACGGCCCGGCCGGACCCGGCCCACCCCTGGTGCAGGAACGCCAGGCCCCGGGCGACGCCCAGCGCGATCCGGTGCCGCGTCGGCCAGTCGGATATCGACCGCCTGTCCTCCGCCGCCTCCCAGATGTCGCCGCCGGTGTCGTCCAAGTCCGGCCGCCCCGCCGGCAGCTCCAGCTCGTGCAGCCACCGGTGGAGGTCGCCTTTCTCCATGTACTCGTACAGCAGCAGCTTCTCCCTCCCTGCAATCAATGGCCGGCGTTCGAATTTCAAAAGCCAACACTTTTATGGTGCTCTGCTCACCGAACCTAACTGCTCCAACTAGAAAAGAAAGATAGAATCCAAAGTAAATTTGCACTCACCTGCAATGCAGTATCCGATGAGCGGAAGGATGTTGGGGTGCCGGAGCCGCGCGAGTTCCCGGAACGCCGCGGCCGCGGCGGCCGGGTTGTCGTCCTCCCCGACCCCGGCCATGGCGCCCTCCACGACGCGCACGACGACGTGCAGGTCCCCGGGCAGAACGGCGCGGTACGCGGCGCCGCTGCGGCCACCGCGCTCCGCGAGCTGGGACTCGCGCCCGAAGCCGGAAGTGGCCGCGGCGAGGTCGGCCAGCGTCAGCTCCATGAGCGGCCGCTCGAAGAGCACCACCGGCGCGGCCGATGCCCCCTTTCCTGCTGCCGCCGCCACAACCACCTCGTCTTCTTCCTTCTCGCCCCACTGCACCTTCTTCTCCTCCGCCTCCTTGTCTCCGTGCTTCCTGCTCCGGCACCTCACCACCCCGCACGCCACGGATCCGACCAAGCAGAGCAGGACGATCACGGACGCCACCCCGCACACGATCGCCACGGCGACCACGCCCAGATGCTTCTTCCTTTTCCTTTTCGTTGCCGTGCTCTTTGCCGTCCTCGCGTGATCCTTCTTTCCATTTGTTCGCGGTGGCGGCGGAGGCCGCCTGGGCCGCGCAGGGGAGTCCTTCGAGAACACCAACGAAGCATTGCCGGCGTGGACGAACGCCGAGGGCCCGAACCTCTTCACCGCGCTGGCGTTCACCGCGCCGGACAGGTTGTTGTACGAGACGTTCAAGAAGCGGAGTCCATCGAGCGGGGGCAGGTCGCCGGGGAACCTCCCGCGCATCGCGTTCCGGGAGAGGTCGAGCCGGCGCAATCGCGTCAGCCGGCTCAGCCCCTGCGGCACCGCGCGGATCCTGTTCGCGGACACGTCGAGCGCGTCGAGCCCCGGGAGGCCGTCGACGCCCGCGACGACGGTGAAGCGGTTGCCGGACACGTTGAGGGACAGCAGCCGCGTGTTGGGCTCGACCCGCAGCGAGCCGCCGAGCTGGTTCCGCGACACGTCGACGGCGCGGAGCGCCGGCGCGCGCCAGAAGCCGCCGGGGATGGCGCCCTGGAGCGCGTTGCCGGAGAGGTCGAGCGCGGCGAGGGCGGAGAGGTTCGCGAGCGCCGCCCACGCCACGGCGCCCGTCAGGTTCCGCGACGGGAGGCGCAGCTCGCGGACGGGCCGGCATGCCGGCACGGCCTGCGGCCAGAAGTTGCGCACGTGGCGGAACGCGGCCGCGACGATCGCCGCGTCGTCCCGTGCGCCGCCGGCGCAAGAAGAGGAGACGGGGTCGGGAGCCGTGGTGGAGAGCACCAGCAGCAGCAAGAGCACGAGGCGGCGGGCGTGGGAGTGGGGTGGCATGGTGGGCGAGCACTTGAAGTGTGCTCCCTACCTAGTACGGGCGCGGCGCAGTTATTGTCCGGGAGGTTTGAACCGTGGCCGGCATTGAAGGAGGAGGACGAGGAGGAATGGAGCAGTGCGCCGTGCAGTGCAGGGGAGCGGCTCTGCTTTTCGGTTTTTCTGGGTGGGATGTGTGTGAGCTGGTTTAATAGCTGCTGCCTACTGGGATAGTGGCAGTGTGTGTGCTAGAAACATGACATGGGGGCGAGGAGTTGTTGGTTTCTCATCTCGATCGTGGACTTGGGAAGAGTGGAGTCAGGTGGACAGAATGAGGATGGTTGATCTGGTACGCCAATTCCCCCTTCTTCTTTTTTTCTGCCTTCTTGACTTTCGAAGCTAAAAAAGCTTTCGATATATTCATCAACTTTTAAGGTAGTATAAAGAACATCAGAAATAAAAATTACATCCATGTCCGTAGACCACCTAGCGACGACTATAATCACTTGAGCGAGCTGAAGGCGCGCCGTTGTCATTGCCTTTCCCTCATCGAAACTGAACATGTCAAGGGCCTCGGTGCCCAAGACAGCAAGACCTCGACTACGTAGTCCGTAGTCTCGGGGGATAGGAGCGTTAGGGTTTTTGCCTGGCTGCTCAATGGTGCGGGAGGAGAGAATAGGAGTAGAGGAAGAGGTAGGAGATAATAACTTTATTGCTTGCCCCCAAAGGGTGCTGGTTATACGGTATATAAAGGCCCCATGGGCTGCTAACAAACTAGAAACCTATGCCTAAACTACTCATTTATTATAGGAACTAATGTATAAGGACCAGGACTCCTGCCCAGCCTACGCCTCGCCTGTTGCGGCCGGCGGCTGACGCTCCTGGCCGCGTGGCCCACGCCTGTAGGCCGTGCCCCACATGACATCTCCCCTCCCCCCCTCGACGAGCAGCTCGTCCTTGAGCTGAAAAGCGGGGTAGCGCTCGACGAAACTGTCAAGATCCTCCCATGTAGCTGATGATGCTGCTTCACCCTTCCAGTGGACGAGCAGCTGGTGAACGCCGCGTGCTAGTCGTGCACGAGTCACGCGCTCCGGTTCTGGAACAGCCGCCCCGTTGTGGATCAGAGGCAATCCCGGTGGTGCAGTTGGAGGCGTGCCGAAAAACTTCTTGAGGAGGCCCACGTGGAACACGTCATGGAGGCGCGAGCGTGCCGAAAGTTCAAGGCGGTAGGCCACGTCGTTGACGACCTCTGAAATGCGGTACGGCCCATAGAAGCGTGGCTTGAGCTTGCCCCTGGTTGGCAAGTTGAGAGAGCACGCGGCGCGCTGGCGAAGACGAAGCCAGACCCAATCGCCCACGTCATGCCGAATGTCCCGATGGCGTCTGTCGTAGTAGGACTTGTAGACCGCTTGTGCCTGCTGTAGACGATAGCGGACGTCCGCGAGTAACTCGTCGCGCTCCGCCATGCTCCTGGCCACTGCGGCCACCCGTGTATCGCCTGGCTCGTAAGAGCGAATAGTGGGAGGGTCACGGCCATACACAAGCTTGAACGGAGTTTCTTGGGTCGCTGTCTGGTAGGCGGTGTTGTAGATATACTCGGCCCAGGGAAGCCACCGGAGCCACTGCCTGGGACGATCCCCGGTGAGACAATGGAGGTACATCACAATGATCTTGTTAGCAGCCTCCGTTTGGCCATCCGACTATGGATGAAACGCCGTCGTCATGTGCAGCATGGTCCCGTTGAGGCGCATGAGCTCCCGCCAAAAAGCCGAGGTGAAGACGGGGTCGCGGTCAGAGACCATGGACTGCGGAACGCCATGGAGACGCACAATCTCAGCGAAGAACACCTGCGCCACTGATTCCGCCGTGTACGGGTGGGCCAGCGCCACAAAGTGGCAGTACTTGCTGAAGCGATCCACCACGGTGAGGATAACAGACTTCCCGCCCACACGAGGGAGCGCTTCCACGAAATCGATGCCGACGTCAGTCCACACGGCCGTAGGCACCGGCAATGGCAGCAGCAGACCGGCTGGGTGCAAGTGCTCGGACTTGTACCGCTGGCAAGTACCATAGGCGCGGACATACTCCTGCACCGTCTTGCGAAGGTTAGGCGCGTGGAAGTCGCGGCTGAGAGGATGCAGCGTTCGCAGGACGCCTTCGTGTCCGTCATCGTGCACCGCGGTGAGAAGCTCCTGGAGTAGTGGAGACGTTGGCGGGATGTAGAGGCGGCCGTTAAAGTGACGAGGCCGTCGGAGAGCGCCCACGGCAGCTGCCGAGCGCCTGCCGTGATATCCTCGTGCAGCGCGACGAGTGCTGGGTCGGTGGACGAAGCTTGCCGTAGGCGGTCGATGAAGTCGAAGTGAGGACCAGATATAGCCATGACCCCCGTCTCTTCCGTGTCGCGGCGGGAAAGGGCATCCGCCACCGTGTTTGTACTACCGGCCTTGTACTCCACAGTGAAATCGAACCCCAGTAGTTTGCCGACCCAGTGGTGCCGCGGAATGGTTGCCAAGCGCTGGTCAAGGAGGAATTTAAGACTGTAGTGGTCAGTTTTTACCACAAATTGGCGCCCCCAGAGGTACGGTCGCCAATGGCGAATAGCGAGCACCAAGCCAATGAGTTCCCGTTCATATGCCGCCAGAGATCGGTGACGAGGCGCGGCCGACCGGCTGAAGAAAGCCACTGGGTGCTGATCCTGGAGAAGGACGGCCCTGAAACCGTATGTAGACGTGTCACACTCGACGATGAACGGCCGTGTGAAATCGGGCAACGCGAGCACGGGAGCCGTGGTGACCGCCGTCTTGAGGGCGGTAAAAGCTGCTGCCGCCTCCGGCGACCATGAGAAGCCGTCCTTGCGAAGCAGGGCCGTCAGGGGCACGACGACCACGCCAAACTCCTTGACAAACTTGCGGTAGTACCCTGCAAGACCGAGAAACCCCCGGACCGCGCGCGCCGAGCGAGGCTGCGGCCAGTCGGCCACGGCCTGCACTTTTCTCGGATCCATGGCCACTCCGGCCGCGGAGATGGTGTGACCCAGGTAGGATATCGACTCGACGGCGAACGAGCATTTGGACCTCTTGACGAAGAGCCGGTGCTGGTGCAGTACGGTAAAGATGGTGCGCACATGGCGAAGATGATCGGCCCACGACTCGCTGAATATGAGGATGTCATCGAAGAAGACGAGAACGAAGCGGCGCAGGTACGGCCGCAGCAGATCGTTCATGAGTGCCTGGAACATCGCCGGCGCGTTGCAGAGGCCGAACGGCATCACCAGGAACTCGTAGAGGCCGTCGTGGGTACGGAAGGCGGTCTTTGGGATGTCCTCCGCACGCATCGGCACCTGGTGGTAGCCGGAGCGCAAGTCGAGCTTGGTGAAGAAACGAGCGCACTGGAGCTCGTCGAGGAGTTCGTCCACCACCGGAATTGGAAACGCATCCTTGACGGTGATGGCGTTCAGGGCGCGGTAGTCGATGCATAAGCGCCAGGACCCGTCGGGCTTGCGGACCAGCAGTACCGGCGATGAGAATGCGGAACGACTTGCTCGGATGATGCCCTGGGCGAGCATGGCGGCGCACTGATGCTCCAGCTCGTCCTTGTGCGCGGCCGGGTAGCGATACGGACGGACGGCCACCGGGGCGGAGCCGGGCAGCAGGGTGATGCCGTGGTCGCGGCTGCGGAGTGGTGGTACGCCGGAGGGTTCAGCGAAGATGCCGTCAAACTCTGTGATGATGGCATCAAGGAAATCGCGGCCATTGCATGATTGCAGGGCTGGCCCGTCCGGTCCTGCAAGGCCGCGCCAGCAGACCCGATGGCCCCTCCGCTAGAACGTCATGGAGAGGGCGCGGAAATCCCACAGGATCGGTCCAAGCGTCGCCAGCCATTGCGTGCCCAGGACGACGTCGTAGCCTGCGAGTGGCAAGGCGAGGAAATCCTCCGAGAACGCCTCCTGGTCGATGCGGAAGGACACGGCGCGGTATGCGCCCTAGCACGGAACACGCTTGTCGTTGGCCACCGTGACACGCATCTTCTCGGTGGTGGGGGATGGCAGTGTAGCACGAGCGGCCGCCTCCTCGGCGATGAAGTTGTGGGTGGAGCCTGAGTCGATCAGGGCGAGGAGGGAGACACCCCCGAGGGTGATATGCATCTGCATGGTCTCGCTTGTGCGCACGCCGGAGATCGCGTGGAGCGAGATCCGAGGGTCGGCCGATGAGGCATCAACGGTGGCGGAGGCTGTGTCGTCGTCGTCATCGTCCGGCGCCAGGTCGAGGAGAAAGATGCGCTGGCAGACGCGGTTGTGGCCCCTGCCAAACTTCTCATTACAATTGAAGCATAGGCCCAGGCGACGGTGTTCCTCCATCTCTGTCTGTGACAGGCGTTTGATTGGGCGCCCTTTCGGCAGACTGGGAGCAGGGGGTGCGGCTGGTAGAGCCGGTGCGGGGGGCGCGAGGCGTGGTACGGGCGCCGGCAGGATGCCCTTCTGCTGAAAACGCACCGGTGGCGCGGAGGTGAGCACGCACGGGTCGCGCAGCTCCAACTTGCGGGCGAGGCTCATGGCGACGGTGAGGGACTACGGGTTGTGGATTTCCACGTCGAGGCTGAGGGGTGGCTGGAGTCCCGCGGTGAAGATCTAAACCTTCTGTGTCTCTGATAAGATGCCTGCCTGGGGGAGGAGCGCCTCAAACCGCTCCTGGAAGTCGACTACGGACGTTGTGCGCTTGCACGCCATTAGTTCGCCCAGCGGGTTAGCGCGCAGAGGTGGCCCGAAGCGGAGGTTGAGCAGCTCGGAGAAGCGGCGCCACGGCGGAGTGCCCTCGTCATGCTGGACCTGCATGTACCATAGCTGGGCAGAACCCTCGAGGTTGTAGGACGCCATCCAGACTTTTTCCTCCTCGGTGATCCGTTGTTGATGGAAGAAGGACTCGCATATGTTGAGGAAAGCGAGCGGATCTGACTTGCCGTCGAACTTGGGGAAGTCCATCTTCTGAAACCGGGGCGGGCGATCATTGTGGTGCTGCCCATCGTGG